GGAGAGATAATAGAATGTAAACAAAGACACAAAGAGAAGCAGTCAAAAGTTTGGATGTGCATATTAGTAGAAAGTTTTTTGTCTGTGAAATTTTGTGCTTTATTTGAACTATTTATACTGTTAAACAAATCTAAACTGTCTTATATTTTAGATTATTCAAAGTACTCCACCTCTACTTTGATGCAGCTTTGCACACATTCATTCTGTCAAATAGCTTAATGAGCAGCCACTTTGGTTGCTTTCCAAGCTTCACAAAACTACTTGTTTTGGAAATAAATTCATACATAGGCATCAAGTTTAGGATTTATGTTTGTTTTAGAAACAAATTCCGAGCATTTAAGCATATATCAGAATGTCTTTAAAACTATAAAAAACATACATTTAACTAGGTGGGTCCAAGCGTTTAACTGCTACAGTGTAGCAGTTAAGTGGGCAAACCGCAACAGTGTAAACAAGCATGCCTAATAAAAAAAAGTAGATTTTGTATTCAGAAGGGAACGAATGTGATTATTTGGTTATGAGACAGACAGGACACTGCACAATCTCCTGCTGTGGCTAAAACTTCCTGACAGAGTGATATTTAACCGGCCAATTTTCACTTTCTGAATGCAAATGGGGTTTTTGTATTGTGCACGGCCAGGTGCATTAGATAAGGTGCCGCAGCGTCTCGGGCCACTGTGCTATCTAATGGTTCCCTCAGGGACAGAAAGGCACTTCCGTTGCCTCATATCCAGAGTGGCATTCAAGTCACATAAACACGGAAAATTCATAATCGCCTCACTGCTCAATCTGTCTAAAACCTAGCCTGGTCCATTTGCTATCAGTGTTACTTGTAGCTGGCTCAGGCTCTTGCACAAAGCTGTAGCAGCTTACATATATACATTTCCCCTTCAGGTTAAGTCATAAAGTTTGGACACACCTGAATACATGATTTTTATAATCGTAAATGCATTCTAATCTAAAGCCTTATACTTACATGCTTGGAAGTACTTTCTGAAACAAATGTACAGTACTATGCAAAAATCAGAAACCATCCTTTCAATTACTTAATTTCTAATCTTTTTTTTAGCATTAGAAAACATATAATCGCTGTTCAAATAAAAAAAAAAAAGGTCTTATGGCTTGGTAACTTTACAGGAGGTGGCAAACACGTTCTTTACCTTTAATGTAAGTTAATGTAAAGAGACTTTATTCTTTGTGCTTTTGGAGCATGTCTTTTGGTTAGTTCATTATGAAAGTGTGCCCACCCTTTGCCCTTATTACAGCCTCTGTTCTTTTTGGACTTGCTTTCAGTTTTAACCACACGTCCAAAGTTTCGTCTTAGAAGTTGGTTGCATTTTCTGCTTCTCACGATGCAAGTAATTCTACATTCAGTGATACTGAGGTCTGAGCTTTGTGGTGGAATGTCCGTTGTTCTTGCTGGGTTCTTGACAGCTTCACATGCTGTCAGACCCTTAGTGTTGAGTTGTCGTCTCACAGTGGTAGGTCACCTGAGGATTTTTTCAGATCTGAATCAAGAATGGAGCTTAATTATCTCCTGTTATTGAAGATGTAAGCTTTAAGTACTGTTTTTCTGATGGTTTTGGTTGTCTTCCAGGTCTTGCTTGGTTGTTAAGTGTCCCATTTTCTCTATAACTTTTAATTATTTTTTGAACTCCAGTTTGGAAAATTCCTGATTTTTTCGTTATTTTCCTTTGCCTACCCCCTTCCTTATGCAAGTGTACTGTCTTATATCTAATCTCCTCAGACATAAGTAATGAAAAATGAAACAAAACACTTGAGTATTTTGGCTGAAAATTAAATAAATGATGGGTGGTCTTGCATTTTTGCACAGTAAATAGCAACATTGATGCCTAGATGCGAAGTTGCTTGAGAGTGTGTAAAGCTACATTAAGGCAAAGGAGGGCTACTTAAAAACAATCTAAAATAGAATATAATTTGAATTCTTTAAAATAAGTTATGGTCACTGCATAATTATATATGTATTATTTCACAATAGTAAAAAGAACAAAAAATGTATGCATTTTTCACTGTTACTGTGAGTCAGGAAAGTCATGTAAGTCATAACTTTTACGTAGTTTGGCAGTGTTTTCTTTTTTCTTTCTTAACTGTCTCAGACAACGCGTCTGTTGGGCCTTCCATTTTAAACTCTGTATCGGTGCCCATGCAAGGTTGATAAGTGTGGAAATACATGCACAGCTGCAATAGAACACGTTATTCATTGATCTCTTACTAGATGCTATGAAACGGCCATGATTGGAAATCACACAGAGAAGTGTGAGAGGGGACGGCTTTGTGGGTTTTTAAAAAGCTTTACAGATTGATGTTGTGTGTCGGGACTCCTATGGGAAAATGAAACGAGGAGGGCAGCTTGGCTTTGACTTCACGTTTACTGCTGCTGAGCGTGCAGCAAAAATACTGTACGAATTTGTGCTAACATTTGCAACTATGGATCAATACCTTCAATCTGGTTTAGAAACTTTCGAGTCAAAGCGTTTATTTCTTGCCTAGGGATGCAGTCATTTTTAAATCTGAGCTGGCCCTTTAGATCTCAGCATGCTTCTTGTTTAAGCAGGATGTTTCACACTGCGCAAAAAGACCCTGAGCAGTTCAATATTTCCATCCTTCTACCTTAAGAACTCTCCAAACGAAAAGAGACAGTGTTTACATGAAGGGATAAATTGGATCTTTTTGTACTCTTGACTGCAGGGCTCTTAAACCAGATCCTGGAGGGCCAAAACATTGGACTGTTGTGTTTTCACTACTCCAGCTTGATTCATCTTAATAATCTAGTGATGTGAGAATGTGCTTTACTGTTAGAGAGACCCATGTAATGATGCTTAAGCTGCCTCTCAGGGTTTCCTTTGGAGAAAAAAGGCAGCAACAGAATTGCCAGTGAAAAATCAACTGAACAAGAAGATATTTAACAACTGTAAGGCTCTCTACATTTGCTGGCCACTTTATTAGAAACAACAACTTGTAATTTCACAAACTGGCCACTTTATGAACCTACCACAAGGATCCATTACATACAGTTGTATGCAAATATTACCCCTCTAAATTACAGGCTTTTTACATACTAAGGCTTATTATTCAGTATCAAGGACTTCATTGCAAACTGGTGGAGGTACTCTTAGGTTATAGAAGTGTGTAATAAAACTTGCTATGTAAGGGTTTAAACACCCTATTCTAAGTGAAAATTTAATCTAAGTTATAAATCTAAGTGAAAATAAGTTTAATATATTTGAAAAAAATAAAATGCAAAACAAAAATTGGGCCATCACTATTACATAGCCCACATTTTTTGTTTTATTTTTTCACAATATGTTAAATTCAGGAAATAAACAGTAATTCTGTTCATTCTTCATTTGACTGGGGTGCCAAAACTTTTGCATATGACTATAGGTGTACAATTACAGATTGTAGCCCATCACTTGCAGCACAGTTTGTTAGACAACCTCTACCCAATTCACTGTTGGTCAGTTTCTGACCACAGGGTTCTCTTTTTCGAGTCTTGGTTCCGCTCAAGGTTTCATGCTCTTGCTGTTAGGGAACTTTCTCTTGCTGCCTTCCACTGTCGCCCTTGGCTTGCTCAACGGGGCTTGAACTGGATTTTTCTGTACAGCTGCTTTGTGACAACGCCTGTTGTAAAAAGCACTATAAAAATAAATTTTGACTTAATTTGACTTGACCTCTGTCAACATTTTGGGTGGTGGACCATTCTCAGTAAAGCAGTGACACTGGAATGGCTATGTGGTCAGAAACTAACCACTGATGAAGAGCTAGAAGATGACTGACACAAACTGTGGATCAACAGATGGGCTATAGCAAGGTGGATCTACAAAGGAGGGGTTTCTAGTAAAGTGACCAGGGGAATGTATTTCTACTAAACTTTCTAGAAGTCCAACAGTGTATTAAAGATCATAAGGCAGAAAACAAAGACTTAGATGGGTGCTGGATTCCAGATGAGATCGCTGTGGCTCTACATGCCTGGAGGCTTGAAGCTGGAGGTGTTCTCTGAGTCTTACATTTGTGACCATGTGTAGTTAAGGCAGTTTCACCCTGCATCGGCATGGCATGCATTTTTTATGCACAAAGAGTGCAGTAGTGTTTATTTAGATACAGCCTGGAATGCCTGGAAGGACTTCAGAGGAACTCGAGTGAGATAACAATAGAAATCCACTCAGCAAAATCCATACCTGCAGATGCACAGCAGGGGAGGGCCCAAATACGTTTACTGCAGAGTGACGCATTTTATATTATTGTACAGTCCATTGAGCTTTGCTGCTTATGACACGTTTTTTCTTGGCTTTTTAATTTGCATGTTCATAGTCATTAGTGGGTTTTTCAGAGGCGCTGTCTAATGGGATAAAGTCTAGACAAATTGAACCATTAAGTGCTGTGTCATTCGGTAAAAAGACAAATGACAAACACCCACTAAGACAAAAATTTGGTGACTGCCAGCATCTGTTACTCGATCAGCGTCCAGCAGACCCCATACTGTAATAATACAGTACTTAACCCTTAGAGGTATACCATTATTATAAACGTTTTGCCGTTTGCATAGCTGTTAAAATGTAAGTCTAAATCTAAGTCTTTTTTTTGCGTGTTTTGCTGTAACGTTTCATCAAATTTAAATCAGAAAAAAAACATACCTCCTGTGGTTTGGATTAAAAGTATGGAAACAACACTTTCCACAGAACTTCCACTTGTGTTAGTGAGCAAGTGGGAATTAATCAATATAGATGTACAGCATGACAGCGATAACTGTGACTTCCATAAAAATAGTCCATATCCAACAGGCTGCACAGTATAAAGATATTGTAACAGTAATGCTGATATTGTAACAGTAATAAAAACCTAGAAACCTATTATTTTCTCAATATGGTGCAGGCCTTTAGCAGTTTTGTGTAGCCAGAGCCATGCCTGACTCGCTAGGTGTGTACTCGCTGTTTCCTGTCTCTACTCTATGTCTTTAACACCCTCTTGTCCTCCAACAGTCCGACGCGTTCCACCGCGCTTCTCTATCCCCCCCACCAACCACGAGGTGATGCCAGGGGGCAGTTTAAACCTCACCTGCGTGGCGGTGGGTGCCCCCATGCCCTACGTCAAGTGGATGACTGGAGACGTGGAACTAACGAAGGAAGAGGAGATGCCCATTGGGACGGAACGTTCTGGAGCTGACCAACATCCGCCAGTCTGCTAATTACACCTGTGTGGCCATTTCTTCTCTGGGCATGATTGAGACCACCGCTCAAATTACTGTAAAAGGTAAGTCAAAGCGGTGTTTAAGGTCAAGGTACAGTATGGTGCAAACAACACCAAGGTGAAGGGTTCAGTTACCAAGAAGCACACCTACTGATTGCATAAAATATAGAAACCTTCCCTGTACAATAAATCACCTTTATGCATCTGTGAAATAAATAAATGTACTGTAATCAGGAATAACTTTGTCATCCGACAGTTATCATTGGCGTTACGCTAGAAGACCTGGTGTCTCTGAAGTGGTCATTTTATAGGATAGTGTTTCCCAAAAGTGGTCCTGTATGCACACTGTCTTTCATGTTTTTGTGCTTTACTTACTTTAACACAGCTACTTTAACTCAGTAAGGTGTTGTTAAAGGAATATGTCCATGAAAAAAAATTTACTCAATTTTCCACTTACCCCAGATGTAGTCAGTCAGCCAAGACATGTTAGAAGTCCAAATTTTACTTCTTTAGTTTAGACCCGGAGCTACGAGGCTAACGTTGCTAACAAACATGAAATTAAAATGTATTATGAGCGCTTATTGTGTTCGCAATAAGGCATATTTTGCCCTGTGCCTGCACCCATATGTACTGGTCCTGGTCCTCAGTATAATGTAAAAGAATGTAAGTAGTGTAAAAGAGCAGACTTGAGTAAACCATAGCATAGAATGTAATGCAGAGAGTAGTAGAGTACTACTGATAAGTGATACGTGGACCATAACAGATAAGAATAGACTATAGAGTCCACCAGTCCTGTAGTCTTTCACTGCCTATTGTTTGGGTGACACATAAAGTGTTTCTTGGCCAAAGCCTTCATAAAAAATTTTGTTGTTTAGAAGACTACCGCCTTTTATCTGTGTCTGTATTATAGCTCTGTCACCAGATTTAGCACAACCTTAGCTAATGAGATACGGCACTCAATAAATACTCCTGTACACTATAATACAAAATATCAATCCATGAACAACCTCAGTAAACACTCATAGTGGTCTATAAACAACCTCAATAAACAAGCTTCTACACTGGAATAAGAGATGTTGGGCCCAAAAAAAAATCAGTTAGTGTTTCCCAACCCTGAACCTGGGGGACTGCCCTGCACACTTTTTCTGTGCTTTAACCCCTACATGGCCAGGGCCCGCAGGCAGGCCAACTTCTACAGCCTAACAACAGCTCAACCAGTTTGCCCGTCCCTTTAGTTACTAAATAATAAGCCTTAGTATGTAATAGGCCTGAGATTTTAAGAGGTTAACACACCTGCTCAGTAAGGGGTTTTTAATGACTGGATTAGTTGGATCAGGTGTGTTAAGGAAACACTAAAAAGTGCAGAACAGTGGGCACCCAGGACCAGGGTTGGGAAATAATAAACACACCTGTATCCTTAAATAGGAGGTATTAGTGCCTAAACGACATTGATAAACACTCTTAAATATTTGAATAGGAGATATTAATCCATACAAAACCTCAATAAACATGTCTATTTTTTATAGTAGAAACTATTAGTACATAGACAACCTCAGTAAACACTCTTATACACTAGAAAAGAAACTAGTACATAACAGCCTTAATAATTAGACATTAGAATTACACATTAGAATAGGAGAAATTAGTCTGTAAACAACTTCAGTAAGCATTCCTGTATGCTAGAATGCTAGAGACATTTGTCACTAACAACCTCAACACAACCTAAACACTCATACAATGGAATAGGAATAGAATGCAAAACAGATGTTGAGGTGTAAGCTTCCATTACTTGTTAACCACAAACCTCAATTCCCAAAAAGTTGGAACAGTAGGTGGAATGCTAATAAAAACAGAAAGCAGTGATTAGTAAGGTCTTCAGCTGCAGCCATACAAGGCCTTCATTGTTGTATTTTGTGCTTCATGTTGTGCCCTGTTTTCAGTAGGAGGCAGGTCTGGACTACAGGCAGACTAGTCTAGCACCCACACTTGCTGTTAAAACTCATGCAGAATTTAGCTTGCCATTGTCATGTTGAAAAAACCACAGACTTCATTTAGAAAGCAACATATGCTGTTCCAGAATATGTATATGTATGTATATCAGAGCCTTCAGAGATGTGCAGGTTATCAATGCCAAGGGGAACTAATACCCTGTAGCATGAAAGACCCTGGCTTTTGAACTTTACACTAGTAACGGTCTGGTTGGTCTTTTTCTTCTTTGGCCTGGAGAACGCAATTTCCATTATTTCCATAAACAATCTAAAAGGTTGATTCATCATGCCACAGTATATGTTTTCACTCTGCAACAGTCCATTTCAGATGAGCTTGATTCCAGAGAAGTCGGCGGGGACATCCTGTCCCAACTTTGATTTGTACATTTGCTCTGTAGCTCTAGTACAAAACTAATGACGTTAACTCTGGACACCAAACATGCCTTGGTTGATCGACTACATTTGGGGTAAAGGGAAAAACCGTAAATATGATTTTCTACCAAATGATTCCTTCCGCACATAGTTTTATTTGTATTGTTTACAGTGAGAAGTAGATTTATTGAGGAAGGTCAGAGAAGAGAGATCAAATTTCAGACACATCCATGGCAGACTGAACGTGATGTCTGGTTAGCTGCGTACTCTTTCGTCTGTGATGATCCAGATAGGCACTCTGATCTGCTCCGAAAGCTCTGATGTTGTTTTCGTCATTCCACAAGCCCGCAAATCCTATCTGCTGAAGGAGGTCTCATTAATAATGAAAGCGGGGGTATTCCCATAGCTCCTGCCACACACTGCATGCAATCAGCTCATCAATCTTTCATCAGAGTTGAAATGTGATGAATAACTCTCTGCCTCCTTCTCACTGTCACCACAGAGCTGTTTTTTATTTTTTTTTGTTTTCTCACCTGAACCCAATTGAGGAAACGACCCGCAGTGAACTCCCCCAACCAAATTAAGATTTATTTCAGAGCTGTCACTTGATAAGAACACGCTCAACTCTGTAATTTCATTCATTGCATTGTTTATGAAGCGTTGAAGGAAATGTTTTATAAAAAAATCCAAATTTAACCAAATTTTCCCTTACCCAAGTATAGTTGATCAGCCAAGACATGTTTGGTGTCTGAAGTTTGCTTCTGTAGTTTATATTAGGCTAATGTTGCGCATTAGCATTGTGCAAACTGAATGCCTAAATCATCACTACTTGTTATGTAGTTGTTCATTTTAAAATTCAGGAAGGTTGCTATTATTGTTTGTGGCTATGCAACATACTTTTATCCATTTTTATAGATAGATATAGATGTCATACAGAGTCAGAAACCTCACAAATAATTCTATTTCAGATTATTTAAAGATCCTAGAAAATCAAATTTCCTTCACTTTGGAGTAATATTTAAGCATCATCAAAGTTTCAAAACGTACCATTCATTGCCCAGTCTGCACAGTCCAGATATGTAAACTAAGCTGCAAAAAATCTGAAAAAAGTCTGATTTGAATTCATTGTTTCTGTGATGTCACAAGAACCAACAGCAGTTTAGGCCCAGCCATCCCTTTTAAAGACCTAGGGAGTGTTTCAGCTCAGTGCTTTTGAATGAGGCACAATACAGAGTAGCCAAACAGAAGAGAGCTTATTTATTCTATATCAGTCTTAAAGGCACAGTAACACGAACAGCCGGTTAAATTGTTGGGGATAAAGAGAGGTTGCAAAATGTTAAATGAGTTATGACTATTTTTGGTATCACACAAAAGTTCAAAGTGGATGACTTTAACAACTCAACATGGTTGCAGGTAAATGAAAGGTGGTTTAAGCATTCAGTTTGTACAGTTACAGTTAGCTTTATGCCTCCTGTACACAACTAAAAAAGGGCCAGACGTTTCTTTCTTGATCAACCACAATTGAGGAAAGCAAGAAAACTGCATACTTTTTTTTAATTGTTTCTTTCTTTTTAGCTGAACTGTCCCTTTAGTTTTTTGCATTTGCTATTAAGTGTTATGCTCAGACATACTCATTCCTGTCTCTGAGCACTGAGAGTTGATCAGGCTATGAAATGAATAGAGAGAAAAAGAGAAGTGCGCTATCTGAGGAATCCGATGCAGAAGGCTGGAACACACTGGATTGGAGGGTGCTTATCAGTTCCAATCTCTCTCTCATAATTATCTTAACCCTGGATTATTACGTGGATCAATTTCGGATGCAGAGTCGTATAAGACGTTTTAATCAGCCTTATCTGTGGTTCTTGGTTAGAAGAGGGAGAAAAAAATCACAATGAGAATATTATGTTTAGCTGCAGCCTGGAAATGAGGGAATAGAGAGCCTGAGCTTGCTCTATCATTTTGTATGTAGATCGGTCTTCATCCACCATGTATGTGTTATTGAAAACCTTTGTGATTTTCAATAATTAAATTAAAAACATGGTGTTTCTGTCTTTATGTACTGAAATTTCCATTCTAGTATAAGAGTGTTTATTTAGTTAGTATTTAGACCAATATCTCTTATTCTATTGTATATTATTATTGAGGATGTTTATAGGCTAATATCTCCTTTTCTAATGTATAATAGTGTTTATTGAAGTTGTTTATGTATCAATATCTCTTATTATTGTGTTTATGGGTGTTATTGATGTAGTTTATGGTCTAATATCTCTTATTTCAGTGTATAGGAACATTTACTGAGGTAGTTTTGGACTAATATCTCATACTTCAGTGTATAATAGTGTTCAGGCTGATATTTTCAATTCTAGTGTGTAGGATTATTTATTCAGGTTGATTATGGAATAATACTCCTATTCTTGTGAACAAGAACTAGCTGAAGCTGTGCTGAGGTAGCATTATAACTTTGTTATAACTTTGTTACTGTCAAAAATAACAACATGACCTTACAAAAACACAAGGATATGCAGAAACAGAAATGTATTTATGTACAATTGAAAGGGTTTTAAAACATCCCCAAGACCACAAAGTCTTGATAAGGTGTTTTTCCAGGTCCTGCTTTATGTGTCACTAATACAAGAGGCACTAAAGGATTACAGTATTTAAAATGATCTTAACCTGAGATTACTGAATGGATCAATTTCACATACAAAATTACATAAAGAGGTTTGATCAGAGGTGTCTCTTTTTGGTGAAAAGACAAAGTGGCAAAAATACAGTGTTATTAGACATTTTCACTTTAGTATATTTAGTTTTTCTGAGGTTTGACAAGAAGTTCAACAGACAAAATGCATCAGCAAAACAGTAGTGGCATTTTTAATTGCATAATTGCAAAACAGAATGAAAAATCAAACAATTAAATAAGAAACAAGCAAAAGAATAAGAAAAAATCAGGCTGACGTCCAATTCTGACAAAATTCAGACACGTTCCGTCCCCCTTAGTTACTAGTGTTATTCTGCCAAACTTTCAGCTCAAGCTACCTGGTAGCATTCGTAGCACTTCTGCTAACAGACTTCAATATTCAGTAGCACAAAGAAACTTTTGGAAGCACAATTAGGAGTACCTCTGAACATAGTTTATCTTCCAAAAACTGGCTTTATGAGACGTTCTGTGCAGACATACATGTCTGAGAACTGATGGTGTGAATTAAGGCCCATTTAAATAAAAGTGGATTCTGGAAATTGTGTTTATAGTCATCACACCTGAGAAATGCTTAAGCAACTAGATGTTAAGGTGATTAAAGAGGTTATCATGTGTTACAAGTTAGCACTAAAGCTAATGCTAAAGCTAAACCTGGAGTTTTTGGTGCAATATTAGCTTATATTAGCTATTACCTTCTGTAAGAAAGTAGTAGAAACGGTGACATCTTTACAAGAAATGTTTTTTTAATTTCAAATGTGAGTACTGTACAGTCTAATTTATACACATCTAATAATAACAATCTCATTTATAAATTAAAAAGCTAACAGATCTTGACATTGTTCTGTAACGCTGTAAACCATATCTTATTAAAAAGGGTGCTAGCAAATGTATGTGTCTGAATTAAATGCTCTAAAGTACAGGGTTATTATAGTTAACTAAAACTCACTAAATCACTAAGACAAAAACTAGAAGTGAAAAAAATGTGTTTTTTTTTAACTAATAAAATCAAAAACAACAGTTTTCAAAAGCACTAAAACTAATTCAAAACTATAACGGCTGCAGCAAAACTAACTAAACAGAATTACTGAGAAAAAAGCTTTAGTGTTAGTTTTGTTTGCTGCATGAATGAGAGTTTAGAAGCGGATGTCTTTAAGAAAAGCTGGGGCTAAATCGAGCCGAGCTCAGTCAACTGTTGAATTTTATTCTATTCTTATCAAATACCTTCTATCACAGTTCATCATAATACTAAAATCTAAAACTAAAACCGAAACTAAATAATAATTAAACCAAAACTATTACTTTTCAAAAAAATAAAAAAATAAAACTATTAATGCACACTTAACACTGAACATAACTAATTTAAGTTCAGTGTTAAGGGTGTATTAATAGTTTTAAGAACCCAAATGAAAAACTAAATAAAAATAAAAACTAAAGAAAATTTCAAAACTATAATAACCCTGCCTCAGTAACAAAGGTTTTAAATCTCTCAGCATAATATGTTTCACTGCTTTACTGCCACAGTCTTTCTTACTGCTGGTTTGCTTTTAGGAGTTGTGTCAGAGTTTCTCCTTTGCTTTGTAGTGGAAGTAGCACTTGGAGACACTTGTAATTGGCTGAGAGGTGTCAGTTATTATTTTGCAAATGATTCATTAACTTTCTATACTTGACCTTTTTTATGATCCATGTTGGGGTAACACTTTATTTGGAGTGGTCCTTTTTAGATGATTAATAAACTCTTAATAGATTATCAGTAACACATAAACAACGTATCAGTGAAGTAGCAGTAGAGAAGCATCTGAATACACTGAAGTAAATATCTTGTAGATGTACTATTGATACATTACTTACATTAAGTAGATGTATTGTTCATATGTTACTTCCATTATGCAAAACCTAACCCTAACCCTCATATGTTTTTGACGTGTAACTTAGAGTCCACTGAATGTTTGTTTCATCTAAAAGGACCACTCAAAACATGCGGTTGTTCACAGTTCTAGAAACACTGTGGCAACCCATGATAAAAGCTTGATGTGATTCATTACAATACCAATAACGATATTATCATGTGGCCCAACCTTACTTGCTTAGAAGAAGAGAAATATTACACAGTGAGAAGTGAAGCCTAAAGAAATGAGGGAATGGAGAATGTGAGTTCTAGAGTCTTGCAAGTTTGGCTGGGAATTATTTAGCGTAGTGATAATCCATTCTACACAGTTTTTGTATGCACAGAGCTATCACATATCCTCCTCATTCACCACTCAGCTGCCTCTCAGCCGTTATGCTCTTACTGTTCACATGAAGCAGAGGGAAACCAAGCGAGTTTTGCAGGACTTGGACGCCTCGCGTTTCTGCATAGCAGACAGGGAGATTTAAGCTCCGTAAAGCGGCACAAAGCTGGCGCTTCCCGTATCTTTTTCCAGCCTTTTTTCCACGCTGCTGCCTTGTTCTCTCACAGATCCATTTGGACTCTGACAGCAAGCACAATCACATGCAACACAAAAGTGGTTTAGAGTCATTTTCTGCTGCAATTTTATTACAATGCGGGCACTTTGCTGTTCGCCTGTGGAAACAGAACGGCCTGGGAGCGCCAGTCCATTACACAGAGCCAAAGTGATGATAATAGTGCTGTTTGCCATGGAGAAAAACACCTTTTACCGCAGTGTATCTGCATTCTGGTTGTGTCAAATACCAGGTCACTGTCACGCAGCTATTGTGGGTGATTTATAGGCACAGATTTTTTTAACCTTCCCATATAAGAAAATAACATGTAAGCATTGCAATTAAACTGACCTCCACGTTACTTATATGTTGCTAAGACTGTGAAATGTAGCTAATCAAAGAACTTTGTTGTCCAAGTGCATAAAAACCACTTGAAGCCTGAAAGCTATTATGCATCATTGTTATTTTACAAAATGTGAAGTAATTTAGAAGGTACTCCAGATTCAGTGGTAGAATTTCTATGTGAAAGATCAGAGTTATTCTAGCAAGATTGCATTTTGTCTGCATTTTGTCTACTTCATTCATCATTGGTCAGTTTCTGGTGGATCATTCTCAGCGCAGCCGTGACACTGACATGATAGTTGCATGGTAGTGTGCGGACCTGGTATAAGCATATCAGACACAATGGTGTTGTTAGAGTTTTTACACACGTCAGCGTCACTGCTGGGTTAAGAGTGGTCCGCCCCCCAAAATTATCCAGCAGCTCTGTGGTCAGAAACTGAAATAAAGTGGCCACTTCAATTTGTATGCCGAATGCTTGATGTCCCTGGTAGTGATTAAAATTGTTCTGTTAACCCCTTAAAAGTTAATTTCTCACTCTTATGACTACAGCACACTCGTCTTAAACCAGTTATTGAATAATTAATAGATAAAATAATTTGCCTCAAGGTTACTAATTATTCTAATATCAAGCCCAGTGTAAAGTCAATGTGAATGGGAAATTGTAACACCTTTTTCATCTATAATGTGAAATATTTCCAAGTAAAACGTGGTATCAGGGAGGGTCTCTGTGCCAGCTCCACGTTTAATGATAGTTAAGGATGGGGAGAGGGAGGTGAAACATAATAGTATGGGTTAAGTCGTTAATGTACTCAAGCTACTATTTCTGTATTAATAATGTATTTTTTCAGCAATGTTTATTGATGCATAAAGCTTAATTCATAGATTTATTTTGTTTGTGTCGCAAACTACCATTTGTAATCAGGGAAACATAAATAAATAGAAACATGCTTCACATATCAGTAGTCTTTTATTGTTACTTTTATGAAAACTCTTTCCAATTTAAATTCCATTCTGGATATGCATGCATGCTCAAAACAAACACTTCCAATAATGACAGCAGCATGGAGCTTCTTTTAAACAGTGAGAGAAACCCAGTAGCACACAGAACACTCCACCGCATGCTGATCCATTTTACTATAGCCAACATGGGTAGGCCATCTGCCCAGCTACTCTGATGTTATGTTTTAATGAGTTAAAGAACACTTCACCAGTCTCTGAAAATGTTAACATTAGGTTCAATAGTGTTAATATTGTTTTTCTTCACCCACTCAGATTTTGTTTAGATATCAAAAGTCATTAGTTTATGGTGAAAGATTATGAAAAGACAAGAATTTTGTCTTTTAAACATTGTGATCTGATGAATTAAATATACTCAAATATAACCAAGAACATGAGGTATCAAGCTAAGTTTGATACTTTTGATTTTAGCTCAACTTCAAAGGAGATCAAAAAAGGTAATGTTACTAATGAACAATGCAAATGAACAACCATAAATTAGCATCATGCAAATGACCTTAGTTGGTAGCTGCTACCGTCTATTAACTTTTTTGTTAACTTATTGTTTGTAATTAACTTTTTATTAATATGTTTGGTCAAACTATTTCTTTAAAAATGTTAATAAAATGATTTGACACGAATGATTTGATTTGTAGCTTTACACACCAACTTCTCTTATAAACCTTAAGATTGACTGAATAATTACCCTACAGTTTAAAGTTTAAAAGTGTCGCACTCCAGTCCTGGAGGGCCAGGGTCCAGCGTGTGTGATTTTCGCACTCAGAAACACCCGATTAAGCTCTGTAGCTAATTGCCAGGTTTAGTAGGAGAGTCAGAGCAGAAAAATCACTGAAAAAAATATTTTTTTCCCGTGCATTTAAATAACCCAGTGGTTCAAATAATCAGTGATAATTAGCTGATTAGTTGGATTAGTTAGTTTGAGCAGGGAAAACACTAAAATATGCCTTTTACCTTGAAGTACTCCAGGACCATGGTTTAGATCAAAAGTATTAATATAATAAATCATTCAGAAAATTTAAAAAATAGTAAACAAAACAAAAGCAATAAAAAGTAATAATGTGTTTTTTTCAGCCCTACCTCGGCCCCCCACCTCTCTGATCGTTACGGAGACCACGGCCACCAGTGTGACTTTAACGTGGGATTCGGGTAATCCAGAGCCAGTTTCATATTATGTGATCCAGTATCGGGCAAAAAACTCAGACAACGGCTTCCAGGAAGTAGATGGAGTAGCTTCTACTCGCTACAGCATCGGAGGCCTCAGCCCGTATTCGGAGTATGAGTTCAGAGTGATGGCGGTGAATAATATTGGCCGCGGGCCCCCTAGTGGAACTGTCGAGACAAGAACAAGCGAACAGGCACCATCTTCACCACCTTTGAGTGTCCAGGCCCGCATGCTGAGTGCCACCACCATGCTGGTGCAGTGGGAGCCTCCCGAGGAACCAAACGGCAACATCAGGGGCTATCGAGTGTATTACACCCCTGAACTGAACAGTCCGCTTAGCACCTGGCACAAACACAACACAGACGACAGCCGCCTCACCACCATCTCAGGCCTGGTGCCAGACATCACGTACAGCCTGAGGGTGCTGGGCTTCACTTCAGTGGGAGACGGGCCGCCTTCCGATGTGTTGCAGGTTAAAACTCAGCAAGGAGGTGAGAGGAATGTGTGTGTGTTTGTGTTTGTGTGTGTGTGTGTGTGTGTGTGTGTGTGTGTTTTTGTTTGTGGGTTAGCGGATTTGTTTATGTATTTGTGTGTGCTCATTATGACACATATTTAGCACAGTGATGTCCTAACTATGTCGGAAAACACAAGAAAAACGAGCAATCAGCAAAATGCTCCTGAGAAGGTAAACTGCTTTTTATACATTCGTAAATATACTTACATCAGAACAATATCTTACATTTCCTAAATGGTAACTTTTCGAGAGAAAGAATATTCTTAACCTTGAATGTATCTTAAAGTAAGTAAGTTTTGGTTTTCTGTTGGTCCATTTATCATAAAAAGTTTACACAATGTAAAAGGCAGTTGGCATTTTCAGATGGTTAAAAAAAATGGAAAAATGTGACAATACTCAATTTTGACTGTCTATACTGGGCTGTTTGTCCTGAAAATTTGACACAGTGTAAAGAGCAGCTGATATTTTCAAATTATGGAAAAAATACTTGAACGGATGGGTTCTTGAATTGACCTCTGACTCCTGGATAAGAATCATGTGTTTTCCTCTCCTGTAGTACCTGCCCAGCCCACTGATTTTGAAGCTGAAGCGGAGCTAGACACTCGGATCATGTTGACTTGGCTCTGGCCTGTTCAGGACCAGATCACCAAATATGAGCTCACATACTGGGAGGCTGACTCTGGACCAAAGGTACACACACAACTACCAGCATGCAGGGATCACTGATTGAACGCACTATGCTCTAATACCTGTACAGAATTTACTGTGCATTCTGATAGCTATGTAGGATAACTTGGGGGGGAAAAAGCCCCCAGGATAACTTGTCCCTCACCTTATTTTCTCTCCTGATCAAATGATGGGGCCAAGTCTAATTAATCCATAAACACTTCCTGACTAAATGGTCCTCAGTTTTTACATATTTGTTTTCAACGGATGTCATCTAAGTGAAACAATCCCTTCTGTATTTTTTTTTTTTTTCCTCATGTAAATGAAAGCACCATGTGCTTTAATATAAAACATATCTATCCGCTTCCTTTATGTTCATGGAAGAATTTGATTATTCATCCCTGGGGAATTGTTTATGGACAATGAGAGGATGCCAAAATTCATGGACTGCCCCCAAAATATATATCCCTGTGTCCTGTGTTGTGTCTCTGAAGATATGACTGTACTGTACGATTGCACTTTATAAAATAAAAAGAAGTAAAAAAAAAAAATCCAGAAACACATTACTGGTACTTTAAAAGGCCCCCTTTAGCATATTACCATGAATATATTATTTAGTTTACATCCACACTTAAGTTTTAAATGTTTAATAAGCATCCATTTTCAAATATGAATATCACAGTTAACTCTTCAATTCTTTATTCTCATAACTTACTTAACATAATTTACATACCTTACGTATTGGTTACATTGTAGATACCAAATTATCATAGTACTTATTCAGTGATTAGTAATTACCCCTCACTTGTGCACTCCACCTTGCTGGTGTACAGTTAGAGTTGAAGGCTGGCATATGTAGCACATATGTTAATGCTAATTTTGTGTTATTTGTCCTCTAGCCCTTCATCAATGGTCAGCTGACAAGTGCAAAACCATTGAAAATGCCACTGTGTCAAATACACTCATACCAGCACCACACACACTACCATGTCACTGTCACTGCTGTGCTGAGAATGATCCGCCACTCAAATGATATCTGGACAGCAGCGGCCCTGTGATTGGAAAATAATCAGTGATAAATGTTGTAGAGAGGGTTGAGAAATAGTATAGTGACAGATGGGCTACAATCTAAATTTGTACACCTGTATAATACACCTGTTAGGTAGATGGAACTGATGAATCTGCCAGTGAATGGAAGCACAAGGTAGGAAGTCAGAGGTGATTATGGTAAGAAAACACATTTACACTCTCTCCCTTTCCCACAGAACCATGTGAGCTTTGACCCAGCTGGTTCTTATGCTGTGGAAAACCTGAAGCCTGACACTCTCTACAAGTTTACGCTGGCTGCGCGTTCTGAAAAGGGTTTGGGTGTTTACACACAGCCAGTCGAGGCCCGAACTGCCCAGTCCAGTAAGTACCAAAGCAACACAGTGCATATTAAACTAATTACAGCTTCCTGCGCTCCATCACTCCATTCCAGTATTTCAGTCATAACAGCACTAACAAGGTGGATTTTCTTCATCCCACGTATATGTATAAACCAGTCATTCCCAGTTCCAGTGTTCTGCACATTGTTCATGCAAGTACTTTGTGTGGCCTGAATTGACAGACATTCTACCTTTTTTAATAAAAATTGATAAAAAATCAATTTATAATACAATAAATATAATATAATATAATATAATGGTGAAAAAGATGTTGCATAACTAAAATGAATGTGTGGTGAACTATCACTTTAAGCTGCCCTAACATTGGCCTGCCATTTCCATTTTTCTTTGTCACCATGCTACAGTTCTTTGTGCTTGAAAGAGCTTCTAAGCAAGCAACTAAATGACAGTGGTGGACTTCAGATTTAAAGATTTGATCCAGACACCCTTCGAAACTTTCTCCAGACGTATTAGCTTAGTTACCAAAACCCACACAGAATCCTCCTGTATTGTCTGACTGACGCAAGTTCCTCAGTGTAATCTCCATCCCAAGCCTCCGTCACTCAGCCAGAGCTGAATATTTATGACAGCTCTTAAAGGAGTAGTTTGGTGACACAATTTACCCCTTTGACCAAATATTTGTTTGATCAGCTATAAATCACCTAAGACCTGCTTGGTGTCAGAAGTTTCTTCTTCTTTAGTTTTGCCCCAGAACTAATGTAGCTAAAAATAACAGAACCCTATCATGCATCATGCAAATAGCATACCTGAATCATCAGCCACTTTCCTCAGCCTGTGTTGAGCGGATAAGTGATCTCTAATGGACTTGTTTATGGGGTTTTTGACACTGTATAACATATTGATATCTACAAAAATGACAGTATTGCCTAAGGAATGAGACGATAACTCCTTAAACTCTGGGTCAAATTGCATGTTCTTTTGATTTTTTAAGTGAAAATAAGTTACATCCTCTACTCAAATACAGCTTTATATTTTTCAAATGGAGCAAATTTTAATGCACAATTTGTTGTGCAGGGGCGCCCAAACATTTGCATACGTCTGCATGTGGGTCTACACTTCAGGTCTTCACTCTCATAACTACGGAACTTGCACCTTAATGTTATAGTAGTTACCAAATAATTCATAGCGTTTAGTGAATAATGAGTGTTAAGAGTAGCTCCTTAAACTGTAGGCTATATTAAGGGTGTTTAATGGGGTAAAGCAGGCAATTCATAGGATGCTGATTGGCGTTTTAGCTATATTAGCTCCTCATAGCTCCTGTGCAAAATTTAAGAAGCAAATTTTAGATGCCTAACCTGTGAAGGGGATAATTGTATAAATTGTATAAATTTGTCACTTCTGACTCTCACAGAATCCTCCCTCCTTGCTTGGACTCTTTTCAGCTGGGTCATGTCTATTGATTGCGTGATTTATTTATTTGTTTTTTTTTTTGGTCTCCTCTCCAAATCCCAGCTAAATCTCCATCACTCATAGATGTGAGCTGAAATATTTATGACAGCTCTTAAGAAAATCACAGCTTATTTGGAGGTGTTTATTCGGCTTGTCAGCTTAGAAAGGTTTTCCAGCCCTGCTAACTTGCTCTTATTTGGCCTCCGTATCATACAGTCAGTGAGACTGAGTCATCCTCCCTAGAGACCCACAACCTCTCTCTCTCTTTCTCTCTCTCTCTCTTTTTCTACAAAGGGTATCTATATGGTAAGAGGAACTGATAAAATAGACAAAGACTTCAGATACAGGGAGGTGTATTTAATGAAGTGAAGTGAGTGGTTGGTGTACATGTGCTTATATATGTGTGTGTGTGTGTGTGTGTTTTATATCTATATATGTGTATATATATATATATATATATATATACACATACATATATCTCTATCCCCCCTCTCTCTCTTTCCCTTACTATTCCTCTCTATGTACGTTGTATGTTTCTTTCTCTGTTTCTTTCTCTTTCTTGCTCTCTTTCACTCACACATTCACTCCCTCTCTCCTTCACCTCTCTGTCATTCTCTCACCCCCTGTGCTTTTTTTCACGCTTCCTTTCATACACTTTTTTCAGTCCTTCTATCTCCCACACAGGCTTCATCCGTTTTTTTCTCTTTTTTGCTTTTCAACACCCACTCTCTCACTCTATTTTTCTCTGGCTGCATTTGCTGGCTCTCTTTCCTCCATTTTGCATCTCAACCATCTCTCTGCTTTATCTTTCTCTCGCTCTTATCGTCTTTACACCCTTTTCTCAAACTCTCACCCACCTTCCTTACATTCTGCTGTGAGCTTATGCCCCATCTCTCTCTCTCTCTCTCTCTCTCTCTCTCTCTCTTTCTCTCCCTCACTCTCTCCTTTCAGTCTTTCCTTTCTGTGGGTCTCATTTATCACAGCTCCTCATGCTCACATGGGCATGGCAGGACAACCGTGCTTTGTCTGAACCTCCATCAAAGACCACACTGTTTTATGGTCTATGATATTCATCTGATAAGCTGAACAATAGAAGCTTTTTCTCTCTTATCTGCTTAATACTTTGATCAGGATGAACGGCTAAATACTGGATCCTGGAAATAGGTTTAGTCCTTGTACATGGTAAACTTCATTAAAAATGTATAATTATACCATTTCATACAATCCCAAACTACAAGGAAGCTCACAAAAAGCAACTTATTTACGTATATGCTCCCTCCAGCAGTATAGCCCCACCCATTCACAATGAACTTACAAAGAAGTGTTTCATTCCATACCGTTTTTTAAAGGGAGGGCAGTGGTTGATATAACAGGTAATTTACATACAGTATATGAGTCTTAAAGGGGAATTTCAAAGATTTTTTTTTTTCAAAATTGCTTCCTTTTTCAATTGTTTAGATGTAAACAAAGTCATTCAGAGTAGACCACACAAAAACTCTGGACTCTGGAACAGTGGAAACATATTTTGTGGCGTGACAGATCAAGGCTTCTCTATCTTCCCTGCCTGACTGCGACTAGTGCAAAGTTTGGTGGAGGAGGGATAATGCTATGGAGTTGTTTTCAGGTGTTGGCCCGGGACCCTTAGTTCCAGTGAAGGGAAATCTTAATACTTTAGCATACCAAGACATTTTGGACAATTGTATGCTTCCAACTTTGTGGGAACACTTTGGAGCTCCAACTCCATTTAAAGCCTATGGATTTAGAATGGGATGTTGTTAAAGCTCCTGTAGGTGTAATGCATAGGTGTCCCAATACCATTGTCCATATAGTGTAGTTCCTGTACTACGTACCTAGCTTCAAAGTAGTATTAATTGACTGTAATGAAAACAAAGTTATATATGGTGAAAAAGCTATAACATCAACCATTTGCCTTGGAAATCTACACCAAATGTTGTACAAGGTAAGACAATGTAATGTTTATTAGCCTTTACCCACCACGGTGTACTGTCATTTATTAGAGTTACTAAGGTTAGGCAGTTAAGTGCTAGGTACTTGTGTGTTGTATTTAGTACTCAAAAATGTTCTCCTCTGATTAGGGTAATGGGTAGGCAATGACTCTTAACTGAAAGCTCTTAATGATTTAACCCCTTAATGATCCAGGTTCATTTTATACGAATGCTTAGGCTAGGTCAAAACCTGAAAAGACAAGAAACTAGGAACAACATGGATAAGTAATGCAGCTACAAGCAAATTTCAAGGCGTCCCAAACACTAGGGGAAAGGAGGGAACTTTTTATACACAGACAAAACAAGACGCAAGTGCAAGTGACAGTAAGGTGTAGCAGGAAATGTTCCAGACAGAGCCAGAGGACCATCGTGCGACGCCTTAGGGCAACTCCAAAATCCCAAAAAAGGCAATGATGCTCACATCATCCTGAGTGGCTTCAGGTACACACAGGAGTGATGTAGCTGACTTATTCCATCTCCACCCTTTGTTTGTTGGTTTGTTTATCCTTCAGGCCAAATGCCATGTTTTGCCCTCCTGTTTTCTTTCTGAAGGTATCATCACCTTATTTGTGTTTGGTTCTCAGAATTCAGGAAAGCAGGGCTGTTAGGGTGGAGCTATGCTATATTAAATTCGAAGGTCCAATTTTATAGATCAAGATTAAGTGTGAACAGGATTTTCAATAGTAAGGTTTTTAAAGTTTATAAAATAAACCAATAGAGGTACAAAAGTGATATACATATAGAGCAAATCTCTACCGTACACATGTGAAACAACACACACACAATAACCCCATCAGATACTCTATTTTGTGCATTGGTGGCCTCCACTTACCATATTGTTTCACTATATAGGTGTACAATTACAGACTGTAGCCCATCTTGACGGTTTGTCAGCTCCACTCATCATTGGTCAGCTTCTGACAACAGGACCACTGCTGACCAGATATTATTTTAGGGAGCATTCTCAGCACAGCAGTGAGACCGACATGGTAGTGCTTGTGGTGCTGGTATGAGTGAATCAGGTGCAGTGGTGTTATCAGGGTTTTTAGTCAGTGTCACTGCTAGGTTAAGAGTGGTCCACTGCCCAAAAATATCCAGCTGGCTCTGTGGTCAGAAACAGACCATTGATAAAGGGCTATAGTAGAAGTTCCCCAAATTTTCATGCCATGACCCACATGTAGTGTTAGTATAGTAAAGTATGGTATACTATAGTTTTTGTCTCACAGCCTATCATGTATTTTATCATCAGCAAACACAATAGCATACTATGATAAAAGAATGAAGCATGCATAGGTCCACACTATTACATAATCAGTGCGATTGATAATAAAATAATGACAACACTTATTTGTTCTATATTTAGGTGTAATCCATCTCTTATATTGAAAATAAACACACAAATTTTACTAAATTTTTAGTTAGACATCACGTTACACATATCTCATTTAAATCCATGTTGTCAGCTATCTATGGAGGGTAACTAGCAGTGTACTCTGATCACCATTGATTAACCCTCTGGGGTCGACGTACCTGCCGGCGTGTCAAATTAGATGTTTCTCTGTATTTATATTAATATCTTTGTGACAATACAGTGCAGAAATATGGTTCAAACAGTTCCTGAATTTGTAGAGTCAGTCCTTTCCATTCCATCCTATTGTGAGATTGTACGTGACTCACACCCATGATTTATGAGCCAATGAAGACAAGTTGAGACACACACCATCTACCACTCGCTATGTGTAACTGGTGGATTTGCGTGTCTGTCATCTGCCTCTCACCTGTAATTGGTGGATTCATGTGTTTGTGAAACTGACCAATGGACACCCAGGAAATCACTAAGGCCTTACCCTTCACATCAGAAACCTTTTATGTTTTGTTCAGTCACCTCAGACGCAGATGTGGAATGATGCGTGAAAAGTTTATAGCGGCTGAAGTTGCTGCAGTGGTTTTGAAAAGTACTGATGAGTATAACATTTATCTACTATTTTATTCATACATTCCATTACTTTTGTGAACCTAAGACTTTGGTAAACCCATTTACCAAAACTAAAACAAGTTGTACATATGAGTAAAGCTATGTTTTCACAAGAGATAATACGAATTTTTAAAACTGGACTTCAGTTTTTCAGCTTTAGGACTGAGTTATCTCTTTACACAGTTCAGGTCAAAAGGGCCTCATTACAGAGAGAGCTGAGATTGTTCTGAACGTTTTGATTTAGAACGTGAATATTATGTCATCTTTGAAGGTGCATTTAAGAATATATGCAAAAATCAAGAAAAGCTTCCTTGCATCCCACTTGTCCCCACAGTGCGATCCACCAGTGGGTTGTAACCCACAGTTTCAAAACCACTGGGCTAAAAGATGACTAACACAAATTGTGCATCAACAGCTGGCTTTATACACCAGCAAAATGGAGTCACAAGGGACAGGTTTCTAATAAAGTGTATTGCAAGGCACACTGCAAACTAAAAAGGCCAGAACTTTTTCTGAAAGTTTCTTATTATTTAATACAGTTTTTCATAGTCCTAAGTTCCTTAATTCCTTCTTGAACCCCACTACCCCCACAGCCCCATCTGCACCCCCACAGGAAGTGCATCTGCTCAGCCTTACCTCTACTAGCATCAAGGTGAGTTGGGTGGCGCCTCCTGCTGCCAGTCGCCATGGGAACATTGTGCGCTACTCCTTGTCCTATCAAGCAGTCTCTGGCGAGGACCGAGAGCGCCATGAAGTGACGGATATCCCAGCTGAGACATCCAGCTATGTACTAGAGGGACTGGAGAAGTGGACAGAGTACCAGGTTTGGGTTAAAGCCCATACCGATGTTGGGCCCGGTCCTGAGAGCAGCAGCACCCGCATCAGAACCAAAGAGGACGGTATGGTCAGAACCGTCTCCAAAATACACTCAATTGCTTCAAAACTCCTTCAGAATATCTTCTTAAAACCTTCTCCATTGCTCCAGAACTACTTACAACTGCTTCAAAACTCCTCACTTTTTCACAAATCCTCAAGAAAAGCTTCCTGTTGTTCCAGAGCTCCTTTCAGCTGCTTCATAATTCTCACTAACCACTGAAGAGTTTCTCCACAAAGCTTCTTATTGATCCAGAATGTCTTACAACTGCTTCAAAGCACCTTCTAACTGCTTTAAAACGTCTACATAAGCTTTTCTATTGCTCTAGAATTTACATCTGCTTCAAATTTTCGTCTAACCATTTCAGAATTTCTATTAAAAGCTTCCTACTGCACCAGAACTTCTTAGAACTGCTTCCAAACTCCCTCTTACCACTTCAACTTTTTTCAAGACGTGTCTTAGTTCTGTGGACCTCCCTGTAACTGCTTCAAACCTTTTAGCTCCTTCAAAATTATTGCTTCAGACTTCGTTAGAACAGCTTGTGCTGAATACTTCAAAATGTCTCCAATAAAGCTTCTTCTTGAGCCATATATATATATATATATATATATATATATATATATATATATATATATATATAGTGACTACCTCACCTAATCACATAGCAGTATCACCAAACGCATACAGTAGCAAGCTACTTAAATACCTACTACCCATAAATATTACATTCATGATGAAATTTCATGTCAAAATAAGCCTGCATGAGAAAGAAAAAGAGAGATGCTCTTTTGATCTATCTCTCTCTCTCTCCAGACCATAGCAGTTTGTGTATCTGGTGTGGGTGAGAGATGTGTGTGTGTATCTGTGTGGGTATGTGGGTGTGTGTGGTTGTGTGTGTAGGCTGGTTTTAATGCTGCGTCTCATGTCTCTGCTGCGCTCAGCAGTTTGATTGACAGCTGAATGGATGATGAATGCATGTGAATGTGATCCACATCCTACTGGGGCTCTCTTTCTCTACATATCTCTCTCTCACTCTTTCTTACTTCTTTTTCTCCATCAGGCTCTCTCTCTCTCTCTCACTTATTTTTCTCTATCACTCTCTCACACACTTTCTCTCTCTCTCTCTCTCTCTCTCTCTCTCTCTCTCTCTCTCTCTCTTCTCTCTCTATCTATCTCTTTCTACATATCCTGAGGGCAGTATTTTTAAGGCTGGTTGTCGCTGCCGCCACTGTCACTGTGGATGTGTTAAGGCAGTGAAGCAGGGCTGGTTAAATACACACACACACACACACACACACACACACACACACCACACACACACCAAACACACACACACACAACATCCAACCATTTACCTTCTAGCTTACCAAAACACATCCTCTACTATTCCAGCTCTTGTATAAAATGAGACTATTGGCTACATAAAACTCAAGTAAGACCACAGTTAGTGGTGACCCCTCTGTGATTGGCTGAGGAACATTCTATGAGTGCCGTTATGTCCCTGTTTTGATAATTGCCTGCCCCTGCCCCATGTTTGGCTGTTTGGCCAGGCAGTCATTTAGCCCCTTCTTCTCAGAGTTCTTGTGTGTCTCAGTTGCTACACAGGCTGCTTCCTTAGCAGCTAAATGATACAGTTTAGCAGGTATTCATAGCTGCAGCAACAGCATAATAAGAGCCCCCTCTTCAGCTGTGAAGCAGTTTTGGAGTAAGGTAAATAAAATAAAAAGAGAGGTGTTTTTTCCAGAAGTAAACAGTCCTTAGTCCTGCTCATAGCTTGTAGTTGTGTCTCTGTTTTCAGGAAAAAAGCCTAAATATTTCAGTACTCCAAAATGAACACTAAAACTGGTTTGTTCACAATAATATACATAAGGTCATGCTATACTTTCTGGTATTGGCACTGGTGAGCCAATCTACTCAGCACTGTACCTCATACTTGTGACCACAGCACAGCATCTCACCATGTAGCACTGCCTCTCATGTATCATTGCGTGACTATGTATTGACAGACATAGAGGTTATTTTGGTCGAGATCAGAAAGTAAGGGGTGTCCGATATATGTAAGCTTATTGTTTTGTGTGTTTTCACTGTCTTTTGAAGTCAGGAATATGAGAAACAGAGAGAGGGGGCTGGAAAGAAAGAGTGAATGGAGAGAAAGGAGAGATCAGTGAAGAGTGAAAGGATAGCGCAAAAGGAGAAATGCAGCAGTGAAGCTTTAGAAGCACAGCAACTGTTTGGGAGCATTAAGAGGCAGCGCTGCTGTACTCTTAAAGCTAGAGGCAGTTTTTAAATGACTCTATACACAAACACAAGGCTTTAACGAAATGCTCTAGTGTTTCTACGTAATCTCTGTCTGTAGCATTGCAGCGTACAGTTCATTACCATGGACAATAATTTTGGTTTTCTCATGCTTAAAAGAACAGAGAACCTGTTGACTTAAAACAAGCTTACAGTAGAACAGACAGGTGCTTTCAGAGTGCATAAATCACATGCACGCTGCCTGGAGTTTTTCGGGACTGAAGTTTTGGTTAGACCCCAAACATAGCCTGAGAACATTAAATCTGGCCTGACATTAACCACATTAAGTTTTGAGTATGAATCTGATCCAAGCCTGACAAAACACAACTTAGACCGAGTTTTGATCTGACATATTGATATTACATTGAACATGATATTTTTTGTCAAAAAAATTAAATATAAATATTCTCTTGGCTGCACAAAATTGTACTCTCTTGGTTTTCCACACATCCATTTTTAATCAAGCAAGTTTACACACACACACATTCTAATATAGGCACGTTTACATGCACACACACACTCTTAATTAAGCAAGTTTACACACACAAATTCTTATTAAGACATGTTTACACACACACACACATTATTAATCAAGCAACTTTGCGCACACATGCCCTGCATCACAGAAATAAGCGTTAATTTTGAGCTTGTGTGCATTTATGTGTCCTGTGTGTATGTGTGTGTGTATGTGCGCATATGTGTGGTCATGTGGACACAGGTCACTTTTTTTTTTTTTCACTCTAGCTCTGAAGGTCGGAGCTGAATCCCGCAGCCTAAGCACATTTATATGCTTAAATGCCTCCAATTAAAGGAGGCAGATATTGCTGGTGTTTGGTGTTTGAATACACACACACGCACACACATACTCATGCTGTTCTTCATGGTCTTCCTTCTGGGAGTGGACTCCCTGCTTTCTGTCTATTAATCTCCTAAAGCTGAGCTTTTTAACCTTTCCCCGCCTCCCTCTCTAACTCTGCCTCCTCCTCGATTGACCAGCATTAACGCTGTTTCTTTTTATCGATGTCAGATTTGTATTCATCCCAAACTCTCACAGGAGCTGAGCGAGCATCTTGAGTGTGTGTGTGTGTCTGTGTTTGAGATAACTTGCCTCCTGAACCACCAACATCTTAGTCTCGCTCAGTCAGAAACTAAAGTGTCTTTTTTCATGTGTAAAGATACTTTAACCCCTAAAAGTGGAGGTGTTTTAGTCATTTTTTATAGAAAAATGATGTTTTTTTTTTTACATGAATGATCTTGATTTGATGTAGACAGTAAATTATAACTGTTTTAAGGTACATAAAACCCACATAAGTGGACATCGGGGAAAAATAATATGGGTCCTTTTATTGTAAGAATTATTATTTAGTAACTCGTTATGACCACATAATCTGATAAAAAAAAAACATTCTACCTGTGTTCTTATATCTCATAATAGCACATTTTTTACCCTACCTGTACAGTTCCACTGACTGCAGATTGCTGGGTAAATTAATATGTTATGTAGTAATGGAACTGATGTGCAGGCCTGCATATAAAGCTTTAGATTGTAAGAGGTCGGTTATTAACAAAGAATCATCTTTAGACATGACTGCACTGCACTGCTGCATAGCATCTTAGTGTCTTACAATCATAAAAAAGAAAAGAAAATGAACATCTGGGCTCTGATCTTTCTGTCCAGGCTATTTTTCCTTTGATCTTCTGGGAAAACTAATCCAGTTCTAATGGGGCTGTAGTCAACTAGTTGACTAGTCTGCGCAACTCAGAAGGTGTATAATGCCCTCTCTCTCTCCTCTCCTGCAGTGCCCGGTGCTCCTCCGAGAAAAGTAGAGGTGGATGTAATGAACTCTACAACTCTACGAGTGACATGGAAGCCCCCGCTGGCCCAGAAGCAGCACGGTCAAATCCGTGGATATCAGGTGGTCTACTCACGTCTGGAGAATGGAGAGCCACGCGGCCTGCCGAACATCCTGGATGTGGCACTGCCAGAGGCTCAGGTACCATTGTGGGGGGAAAAAAACACTACAATTCCCAGCTGCCCTTGCCCACAGCAGCAACACAAATTATAGTCTTCCTGCATGTTATTCTCTCTTTCTGCCTCAATCAAGGACATGTGGAGCGTTGACCTTATGACAGTGTGTTTGTGTGTGTGTGTGTGTGTGTGTGTGTGTATTTGTGTAGTCAGTGAATAACCCTGAATTTTGATGATGTATGCGTTTTCAAAACTGCTCAAAAAAGGGTTCCTTTGTTTTACTGAGGTCAGGTACTGATGTTGGTTGATTCGATCTGGATGGCGCACCATCTCTCCATCACTCCGAAGAACACAGTTTTACTGCTCTGCTTTATACCCATCTAGTTGATACTTGGTGATACTTGGCATTGGTTATGGTGACCAATCTCATGTCTCGTGCGCATTTGCTCCAGGGCGTGCAACAATATTAGAGGTGCTTGACTGTGAATATCCACCTTATTTTTCACATGACTGCTGTATTTTGAAATTATGGCTGAAATATCTGGTTGGGGAACAAAAGTGTTGATCACTTGTTTTTTTCAGTTATTGTTTTGTCCCATTAAGTGTCTCTTAAGATGCTCTGGGACAATATGCAGTTTGCTGTTGTCAGTACGGCTGAGTGAGTGCTTGGCTTTGCTTTATGGGTTTATACCTATGCCCTAGAGTGTGAACAAAAGTAAAAAGTATAAATTAATGATGGTATGTTTGCAGTATGGTGTGTAGGCTATAAATACAATACTCTGACAAAAGCCTTTCTGTAACGCAGGTTCAGGTTTTTCTTGACAGATTGATTACAAACATCAGAACAAAACATTTAAGCATCCCATCCTTAAGTGCTGTGTTGCTGCAGCCCCAGAGTGATGTGATGGTGTAAATGTAGCATTTGAACCACAAGTGTGTCCCAGAGTTTGATCTCGTGTAGATCAACTAACTTAACTTTTCAGCTAAACTCAAGCATGCACAGCTCAAAAACTACTCTATAATGAAACTACTTGCTTAAAAACTCCTTCAAACATGGTGATTACTCTCATTCCCAGGGCTGAAAATGTAACATTTGTGAAGCAGTAAAAGCTACAATAACAATAAATCTGCATCACCATTAGACAATTTTTATTTTATATATTTCTTTATATATAAAGTATTTGATTAGTGAATAGTGCTTTTGCCATGTTGTCTTTTCGGCTATTTGCTTAAAGCATAGGTTAGTTAGATTCATGTCTTTTGAAGCAATAACAAGGAAAAGAGACTCTGTATCGCACATTGAGTCAGAAACGCACTGTTTTACTCATAATTTGTCACTTCTCATATCATCATTGTGATATCCACCAGCTTTATCAAATATTGCATTTCATGTCCATGTAGAGCAGCCCTAATAAGAGATGAAACATAAGAGAAAAAAGAGCATTATTTATAATAATTGATAATTGATAATGAGGTGATGAAAAAGAGGCGTTTCTGACCTTTGAGAGTCTAATTCCACTGAGAGTCTTGAGTGATGTGTCTGGGTTTATGTCTGGCTGCCTCTTTATTTCTTCCCTCTCTCTCTCTCTCTCTCTCTCTCTCTCTCTCTCTCTCTCTCTCTCTCGTTCTCTCTCCCCTTCCCCCCCGCCTCACCCCCCCTCCCTGAAAGGTCATGGGACTCCATCACCATGCCGTTTTTGTCTGTCCTGCCCTCCTCGTTTTGTTTTTCTTTCCCTCAGAAGCAGATAAAACTCTCACTCTGATTTCCTTCATCAGCCACATTCCTACCTTATCTCTGCATGCAAACGAGACTCCTGCTTCCACACACTGAGATGCTACACACACACACACACACACACACACACACACATACAGTTTCTCAGTGTCCCAGGACCTGGCGCCACACGCATGCACACACATACACATAGGCATACACACTCCTTTTGTCTTTCTGTGTGTCTCAGTGACACACATGTACACATATACACTCACTCTCACACACATCCACACACACACACACTCACTCTTCCACGCTTGCAGTGGGTTTTGTTTTGTTCTTCAGTGTATGGTCTTACTTTTGAGTCTGCATTCCACAACAGAGACACAGACACGACTACACACAAACTCTCTACACTTACCTCTACATCCTGTATCTCCCGACTTCACTCTATCTCTGCATCCTTCTCTCTCTCTCTGCTTTTCATGCTCACTCTCCACCACTCTCTATCTTTGCATCCTTCTCTCTCTCTTTCTCTTTCTCTCTGTATTTCTACATCCTCCTCTGCCTCTCTTTGTCTTCGTCTACCTCTTTCTCTACCTCTCCCTCTGTCTCTCTCTACCTCTAAATCCTTCTCTCTCTTTCTCTTTCTCTCTGTATTTCTACATCCTCCTCTGCCTCTCTCTTTGTCTTCATCTACCTCTTTCTCTACCTCTCCCTCTGTCTCTCTCTACCGCTCAAATCCTTCTCTCTCTCTTTCTCTTTCTCTCTGTATTTCTACAACCTCTCTACTTCTCATCTCTCTTTACTCCTGTCTCTCTGTCTCTCTACCTCTACATCCTCCTCTTTCTTTCTTTTTCTCCTCCATCTCTCTCTACTTCTCCATCTCTCTTTATTTCTCTCTCTCTCTCTCTTTCTCTCTCTACCTCTACCTCTACATCCTCCTCATCTTTCTTGGTCTAGCTTTATATCACTTCTGTATCCTCCTGTCTCTTTATCTCTCTTTCACTCTCTACCTCTACATCTTCCTCTCTTACTTCACTGTTTCTAGCCATCCAGCAATCATCTCTTTATAAGAAAATAAATAAACAAATTGGTACATAACTAGATAATGAACGAATGAATGAATGAATAAGAGACAGAGACGGTTGCTTTGCTGTAATGGACTCTGCTGAGCAAGGAAAAAGATAGATGGAGAGAGGGAAAGCGAGGGGTAGAGAGAGGAGAAGGATGGAGAGAGAGAGGGAGAAGAAAAAGGGGAGCAAGCGTGATATGGAGAAGAGCGAAAGAGGGAAAGTGTGGGAGAAAAAGGAAGAGAACATAAAAAGGGAGAGAGACAGATAAAGAAGAAAGAAAAAGACAGAGAGGGAAGGAGAGGAAGAGGGAGTTTTGGACAGGCCATGTCAACAGCACATCATGCTGTGGATGTGACAGATTGGATGTATTGTTGGTCTGTGTGTGTGTGTGTGTGTGTGTGTGTGTGTGTGTATTCTGTCTGTCTGGAAGGCTGCATTGTTTATGGCTGCTGCGTCCTTGTCTGACAGAAGTGGCTCTGCACTGGCTGCTGCTCCACAGGTACATTCACTTGAACCCATCTCTGTCACAAGCACTAAAAAGCAGAGTAAATGTGAGATTGGTCCAGGAGCAAAAGCTGCATTTCATCACACACACGCCTGTTGTAAAGACCCTCAGACAGTCATTCACTCCAGCATGGGCAATCTCCTCTTAACTGCCTGCTATTTTTCTTGCTCAGTCTAATGAATGAAGACCGAATGGGATGATAGCATTTCTCTCTCTCTGTCTCTCCTTCTGTCTCTTTCTCTCTGAGTTTATAAGGACTGATGAGTGTAGTTTTGGTTTCAGAAGTGAGGGGGTCTCTATAAGATTGCAGTCTGAAAGTTTACAACAAGTTAACAGAAATAAGTTAGCTAGTTTGTTTTTTGTTTTATGTTATTGTTGATATGATTTCATGGAGGATTAATATTCCTAAAATTGGTCATAATTTCATTCTTTTACAATGTTAAGAAAATATAGTAATGTTAGAAAAGTATTTTTATTATTCTTTTTAATCTCACGCTAGTCTTAAAGAGTTGATAAGGTGATCATTTGAAACCATAACATGAAACTGTTATTGTCTTCAGGCACCATAAACTGAAAGAGCCTATTAAAAAACAAATCTGGTGTTGTACCATATCTAATGCTAGGCTGTGAAGTGTAAAATATATTGATAGGCTGTGATCACCAGTAGCCTGTATAAGAAAATAACAAAATCTTCCGTAAGAGAATTATTTAAAAAAAATATTTACTACTTTGTCTTTAGATCAGTTTTTTCTTCTAAAGTCTTTGGTGACTCTAGCTGGATTATGAGTTTTAGAGTATTATGTGAGAGAAAGAATAGAGTTAGAGTTTATAAGAAAAGCTAAGTGTAAGTGCTGAATAGTTGGAGCACTATACTTACTGGGATGTACTCAGTTTATATTAAGAGGTGATTAGTCAGAGCATTCGGGCATGACGTAGTTTTTTAAAAAGGACCTAAAGTTTGGATTAATAGATTCAAGATGAATACAAATGAGGAAGTGCAGACATTAGAACAAAAAAATATATATATTTATTAAACTAGCTTACTGGAATCTCTTTTGCCACTAGTTTTAAGAAATACTACTACATTATACATATAGCATATATAATGAGATTGCTTTCTGAGACCAAATCTAGCATTAAATCATAAACAGCGCAGAAGAGCATTGCATGGTCACCTTGTCCAATGCCAGGTGTTGACAAGAGGGGTAAAAAAGTCCCCAGCATTGACATGTGAAGCAGTGGAATTGTGTTCTCTTAAGTGATGTTTAGTGTTTGGTTACAGTGTTGGGCAGGTGAGGTGAGTGTTTGGTTATAGCGTTGGGTGCAGGTGAGGTCAGTGATTATATAATTGGACAGGTGAGGTGAGTGTTTGATTGTAGATTTGGGGTAGGTGAGTGTTTGGGTATAGAGTTGGGCAGGGGAGGTGAGGGTTTGATTGTACATTTGGGGTAGGTGAGGTGAGTGTTTGTACATTTGGGGCAGCTGAGGTGAGTGTAGATTTAGGTTAGGTGAGGTGAGCGTTGGGTGATAGAGTTGGGGCAGGTAAGGTGAGTGGTTGTAGATTTGGGGTAGGTGAGGTGAGTGGTTTTACATTTGGGGTAGGTCAGGGGAGTGTTTGGTTGTAGATTTGAGGTAGGTGAGGTGAGTGGTTGTAGATTTGGGGTAGGTGAGGTGAGTGTTAGGTGATAGAGTTGGGGCAGGTGAGGTGAGTGTAGATTTGGGGTAGG